AAGTGCCCCTCAGACTCGTTCCCTTTCAGCATGCGGGCGCTGATCCAGTCCCGGGGAGAGTGCCAGCCGCAGCAGCGCAGCTGATGGGATGGGGGGTAGAGTCAGGGACCCGGGGTCTGGGCTGTAGATGTGCAGCCAAGCCTGGGAGCCGGGTAGGAATGATGGGTATGTAAGATACGATGGGGCCAAGGTGGCTCTGCAGAGGAGCATCAGGTGAACCTGAGATTGTGGGTCACCCTTGTGATTCTGTCTTGGGATGCCAGAGCTGGACTACATGCGAGGACGGGAGTCAGGGCCAAGGGTCTGGGGACTTAGCTGCATGGGGACAGTGATATTGTCATCTGAGGGTACTCAAGCAGAGTAGAGGGAACAGGTGACCCGCGGCCCACACAGAGGCACAGTCTCCTTAAACCCCAGGCTGACGCTGAGATTTTAGAACCATGTTAGAGTCCAGGGTGTTAACTGTCCAGGACATGAGATGTAGGGAGCTCACACACCTGGAACTGCGTGTAGTCCCAGTTCTCTTCAGCCGCTGTATCACCCAGGTTGGCGCCGTAACCTTGGATCGTCTGCAGCACCAGCTCTTGCACCCTTCGTTCCAACTGAGCGGGTGTAGGTGAGGATGGAATGAGTTGTCCCGACTGCCCCAGCTCCGCCCATGGTGTTCACCCCAGAAGCCCAACCTTGCACCCTTGGGTTTCTTCCCGAATGACTGGCAGTGCTCTCTTCCTCAGAATCTCAGAAGTGTTTCTACGAGTTTTTACACCTCCATTGCTTCTTCCTTTTTTTTAAAGTTTGGATTTAATTTTGAAATAAAATTATTTTGGAATAAAATTATTTTCCTGCATAACCCACATTGGTCCGGAACTCTTGGTCCTCCTGACTCTATATTCTAAGTGCTGGAATTACAGGTACCCAGGATTAGGGACCAAACCGACCACCTCATGAGTGCTACACAAGTACTCACCAGCAGAATAAATGCTAGGTAGAAGTCAGTCTATGTCTGCCTCTGTCTCCATCCTGCCCTCCCTCTCCAGAGTCTCTCTATGGAACCCTGGCTGCCCTAGAATTTGTTGTATAAATCAAGCTGTCTTCAAAGCGATCTGCTTGCCTCTTCCTCTAGAATACCGGGGTTAAAGATGTATGCCATCACACATGGCCCCTTCCTTTTTAATAAACGTGGCCTCACTTTGTTGCCCAGACCAGCCTTGGTCTCCTGGGCTAAGTAATGTTAGCCTGTGACAGCCAGGACCACATGCACCAGCACGCCAGCGTTCCCTCTCTGCCTCCGTCCCCGTGTCTTTCTGACTGTCTTCCTGGTTGATGGCACCTGCCTTTGTTTCTCTCCCCACTCCTGCCCCTCAGCCTCCTTGGCAAACTCACCCGGGTCCGCTGAGTATAGATGAGGATCCCTATGGTGATCTGTGTGGCAAAGAGGAGCAGCAGCATTCCAAAGTACTGAGGACAGAGCGGAGAGGGAGGTGACAGGTGAAAGGAGGCCTCTGAGGGGCAGGACGGGATCGGTGATGGGCAGTGTTACTCACCAGGCCCAGAAGACAGCGCAGTTCCTTCAGAGCCCCCAAACAACCCAGGAGGGCCAGGGTCATGGTGAGGACACCGGAGACTGCCAGGACCTTGGCCCAGGTCTGCAGTGGCATGAAGGACAAGCCTGAGGCGGTGAACGTCAGTGAGGGTCGGGCCGGGAAATAGCAACTGCACTTGGCCATCCCGGCAGAGCACTATCTCCCGCCCTGAGTTAGTTTTTCTCCCTCTGAGATTCTCCTCCTGTTTTTTGGCTCTTGGTCCCACTTCTCCAGACTTTGTAGTCTCGTTTCTGTAGCGTCACTGGATCCAGTTCTTAAACCCTTGGAGGGCCACCAGGTTAGAGATAATTTTCCTAAATTTTTCTTTTTCTTTTTCTTTTTCCCCTGAGATAGTCTCTTGGAACTCAGGCTGGCCTTGAACTCACTTTGTAGCCAGGGTGACCTGGAACCTCTGATCTTCCTGCCTACACCTCCCATGTGCTGGGATAACAGGTGTTCTGAAGTACACATGAGAACATTGTTCAACCCAGTGATCAACGTGGTAAATAAATATGAGTTGCTTTTTTGTTTGTTTTTTGAGATAGGCTTTCTTTATGTAACTCTAGCTGTCCTGGAACTTGCTCCATAAACCAAGCTGGGCTGGAACTCACAAAGATCCGCCTGCCTCTGTCTCCGGAGTGCTGGGATTAAAGGCGTGCGCCACCACCCGCTGGCTGCGATGCTATGGATTTGATTCCCCTTTATCAGTAGTTTCCCCTTCCCTGCTGTGTGACACTTCCCTTCTGTGAACCTCAAGAAGGGAGCGTCTGTGAGCCCCAGCCCAAGATGTGACACAGGAAGTATTTGTGAAATGTCTATCATTTCTGTTATTGTTTGGAATCATGACCTCATTTTGTTACGGTTGTTTTTGAGCCTGTCTCTCACATTGTCCAGCCTGGCCTCCAACCCACTGTGTAGGCAAGGAGAGGCTCTTGCTCCCCTCGCTCCACCTCCTGGAGCTTGGATGGTAGGCACACACCACGACATCCAGTTTACACAACCTGTCAGCTAGGAAAGACACGGCACAGAGGCTCAGTGGTGGTGGCCAATGGGCCACTAGAACGCAAGCCCTTTCTGAAAAGTTGGTAACTCCTGAGGGCCTCTAGGGCAAAGGAGATACCAGGCGATGCCTTAGGGTGGGATTCTGGGTCAGGTCCACCCCGGGAAGACCCTCCCTTACTGCCCAGCCCTCTCACCCATAAAGAATGCAAAGCTGGTCTTGTCAATGAGGACCCAGATGCCAAAGCAGAAAAACAGGCTTCCTAGTACCTACGGGAAGAGAAGAGGAGGGGTTTGCGGGCAATCCAGGGCCACCATGGTCCTGGGACCCCTGCTGGGCAGCCATGAGTAGACTCACAAAGAAGAAGAGGTTGAAAACGAAGAGGAAGTACTTGATGAGGCTGAGGCAACTCTCCTGGGCTGACATCTTCTCCTAGATGGGGAGCAACCAGCTTGAGGAACCCAGACAGAAGAGGTGTTGGCCACAGGGGACCGGGGGATAATGGTCGGAGAAAGAGAGAGACTGAGAGAAGGAGGCACAAAGGAAGAGGGCAGAGAAAGAGGAAGTTCCAGGGGTGGAGCTCCACCCAGCCCTTTTCATTTAGTGACTGTCAGCTGAGTTCTTGTCTTCTTCATGGCTTCCACAGGGCACACAGCAGCACCTTGGGATACGTGGGTACCAAGGACACAATCCGTGGTCCCTCGCAGGTGTCCATGGCTCAGGGAGGGTACACAGGGCCTCCTGAAGGACTTCCACCCACATCTGGGTCCTGGAACCTCAGGGCTGTCTCTGCAGAGGCCAACCTCACAGACACTCTGACCTCATTGCTCCCTGGCTCCGCCCCTGCATCTTGAGGTCCTCTCTTTAGGACCCATAGCCCTTGAACTAACTCTCTCTGCCCTTCTTTGTCCCTTCGGCCTCCGTCGTGTGTGTGTGTGTGTGTGTGTGTGTGTGTGTGTGTGTGTGTGTCTTTCTCTGGGTCTCCCCTCCACCAGACCAGGTGCTCCCATGTGCTGAGGGCTGGGGTTGGACACCAGAGGAAGTGAAAGTGCAATGGAGGAGGTGTGACAGTCCCAGGGGTGAGGAGAGCAGCTAGGCAATGCAGGAAGTGAACCTCAGGTGGCACTTCCTGCCTCTGTGGAGAAACCTAAGGGGAGGAGGCACCAGAAGAACCAGGCATTGGCAGTGGGGTGTCATTCAGCACACCCAGCATCTCCATGCTTTCTTATGATGTGCCCATGTGTCGCTCATGCTCGTCAGGTCCCGAGTTCCTCACAGACTTACAGTGTGTGTGGGGGTTCCTATCACCCAGCTTCCTCTTCAAGCCCTAGGTCTCTGAGGTGGCAGCTCTCTGTCTCTGAGACAAGGCTCGGTTCTCTCTCTCTCTCTCTCTCTCTCTCTCTCTCTCTCTCTTTCTTTCTTTCTTTCTTTCTTTTCCTTCCTTCCTTCCTCTCTTCTTTTGTGTGTGTATGTGCTGTGTGTTCACGTGTGTATGAGTGCACGCCTGCATTTGGAGGCCGAAGGACAAACATCAGATGTCATTCCTCAGAAGCTGTCCCCTGTGGTTTTTTTGTTTGTTTGTTTTGTTTTTAGAGACAGGGTTTCTCTGTGTAGTCCTGGCTGTCCTGGAACTCTTTATGTAGACCAGGCTGCCTTAGAACTCACAGCGATCCACCTGCCTCTGCCTCCTGAATGCTGGGATTAAAGGTGTGCGCCACCATGCCTGGCTCCCTTATTTTGAACGAGGTGTGTGTGTGTGTGTGTGTGCTGGATCTTTCCTGTCACAGGTTGTGCCCCAAGCCAGGCTCAGCTACTCGGCCCCAGTAAGCTAATTAGAAGAACCAAATTCATAGTGGAAAGCAGAAAAAGATTTATTCACTGTGGCCCCATTAGGAAGAGGCAAATAGGCCAGTGACCCCTCCAGTCCATCTCAGGCTCCTGACGTGAGACGTGCAGATAGGGGCTAGCGATATGCAATCTAAGCCGTCCAAGATGTGCTGGCCGCCATTGATCCATGGCTGTCAGGGCCTCAACCGTCAGGTGTCTGACAAGCGTGAAATCGGAGACAACTCACCCTCTGGTTGGCACCTTTCCCCAGCATGAGATTCCTAAGGGGACATCCCCATTCCTTTGGGCCCATTATTCCACTGCTCTGGTGGTAAGACTGAAAGAGACAGTTCCCTTCCCACGTGGGATCTGGGTGGACCGCAATGATCAGACGGGGCGGCGAGTTCCCTTCTCCACCGGTGTCCCATCTGATCATTTTCAGTTCCCAGCAGCTACCCTTAGAGCCCTATCGGCCAGGTGCGGTGAATGTTGATTCTGCTACTGAAAGTAGCAAGCATAGTAAATATTTGAGTATCAGAGAGCAAATATCAGCGGTTTGAAATCCACACGGAATAAATGAGAGGGTCAAGACTTCCAGCGCACCATTTCTGTCACATGGGGGGTATTAGGCCGAGAGGAAAAGGGACTGCCTGTCTGCAGAGGAGGCGCGAGGGCAGCAATGGCGTATATGCACCAAACGGCCCGGAAAGGCCTCGTGGGCTCATGAGGTGGGAGCGGCCTCATGCGGGGACTGGGGAGGTGGCTAGGCTTTCAGCCCAGGCCGCTGAGTCCCTTTCACCTCATCAGCCCCTGGAGAGCTTACCAGGGATCCCGAGCCTGGGCGAGGGGAGCCAGCCAGGTCGGTGTGAGGGGCAGCCATTCTGCAGCCCCGGCTCTCCACAGGCTGCAGGGAGGGAGTCCTGGGGTCAAGGGTCACCGTGCCCCTTCTCCCTCCGAACGCAGAAAACTGCCTGCCTCTTCGAGGTGAGCCGGCGAGTCAGCCTCCTCAGGGCTCGCCCACAGCCGCCACTGCCCTTCAGGGCTGGTCTTTCGGGTGAAGCCCGGCTTCATCCAGCCTGGTGGACACAGCCATTTCCAGTTTTGGAGGAGCCAGGACACCAGCTTCTGAGGCCATAGTTCCGGCAAAGGAGGTAACATGAGTGGAAGGGGTGTTTCTGAGGAGGCTTAAGGGCCAGCATGACATGGCAGGAGGTCAGAGGTTATCAGAAGTGGTAGCTGGCCAGAGCTCAACCCTGGACCTGAGGCTGTGGCTAGCTCGATGGGAGACTGCTAGCCTAGCATATACAAGGTCCCGAGTACTAAACAGAGAAATGGTTAAATAAAGTAAACGAAGAATCAAATCCAACGCTCAGCTCTGTCACCGAGAGCTCCAGCTGACTGAATTTTTCAGAGAACTTGTTTTCAGTTCTGCTGGGTGTAGCAGGCGTTCTTGGCCGCCAACCCCCAAATCAGGACACGGCAGCTTATTATCAACTGTGAACGTCGGCCTTAGCTTAGGCTTGTTTCTAGTTTTTTTTTTTTTAAACTTAAGTTAGCCCATTTCTGTTAATCTATGTGGCTCATTTACCTCATCTGCATACTTCCATCCTGCGTCCCTGCTTCCTCCAGTTTGGCAGGCTGGCTCCTAGCTGACTGGCTGACTCTGTTTCTCTCTCTCCCAGCCAGCCCCACCTATCCCCTGCTCTTCCTAGCTATTGGCCATTGAGCTTTTTATTAGACCAATCAGGTGCCTTAGGCAGGCAAGGAGAGATAACAATACATCCTTACTTAGTTAAAAAATTCAGCATAGGGGGGCTGGAGAGATGGCTCAGCGGTTAAGAGCACTGACTGCTCTTCCAAAGGTCCTGAGTTCAGTTCCCAGCAACCACATGGTGGCTCACAGTCATCTGTAATGAGGTCTGGTGCCCTCTCTGGCCTTCAAGCATACACGCAGAAAGAATATTGTATACATAATAAATAAATAAAGTTAAAAAAATTCAGCATAAACAAAAGCAACACACCTTTATGTAGTCAAACAAATGTTCTATTCTGCAGCAGCCGGTTTTGAATGTCTTCAAGAAAGGCAAATCTACCCCTTATTACACGACTCACCTGTTATTAAATTATTATTATCTAATGCACTAGAGTCAGGGCCACTGCTAACATCACAGATTTTGAGAACCTAACTTTTCTTTTTTAATTGGAGGTGTGTCTCATTTTTGATATGAGCAAAATATCTAGTAGTAATGAAGATTTGTTTACCATAGGTAAGCCTCCTGCTTCCTCAACATACTTAACTTTTTAAAAATTTTGCATGTATTGACTGACGATTATGTGGACGTGAGTCTGTGGGATGTGTCCTGGCACAGAGGACACCGTGTGGGAGTCGGTTCTCTTCTTTCTTCACGTGGGTACAGGAATTGAACCGAGATCACCATGCTTGGCCGCAAAAGCCTTTACCCGCTGAATTATTTTGTTAGCCCCAAATCGATTAGTTTTTGAGATAGGGTCTCAAGTAGCCCAGATGGCCTAGGGTTTGCTGTGTATTCAAGGATAACAAAGGTCTTTATTCAAGTTCTCCCATCTCCATCCCCCAAGTACTGTGATTATAGGCACAGGCCATCATGCCTGCTCTTGAGCAATGGTGGGGGTAGAACCCAGGGCGTTGTGCACACTGAGCAAGCACTCTACCAACTGAGCTACATTTCCCAGCCCTCAACTTGGTTAACTTCTATATGCGTTAAGAAACTCCTTTTCTCTGTTCATCCCTCTCTCATCCTCAAAGAAAAAGTAGAAACAAGGAAACACCTTTAATCCCAGCACTCGGGATGCAGAGGCAGGCAGACCTCAGAGTTCAGTGCCAGCATGGTTTACATAGTAAGTTCGAAGACAGCTACCCAAAGAAATCCCGCCTCAAAAAAGATTCCACCCCCCAAAAGAAGTAATGATAGAAAATGATTTAAGTTTAGTCTTCTCTCATAAAATACAACCCGACTGAAGCTTCCCCTCCTCCCAGTTCCCTCACTTTCCCAAGATCCACTCTGCTCCTCCATCTCCCCCCAAAAAAGAGCAGGCCTCCCAGGGACATCAACAGAAAACAGAAAACCGATGAAATAAGACCAGGCATGAACCCTTTTGTCAAGGCTGAATGAAGGAACCCAGTACAGGAAGACGGTCCCAGGAGCAAGCAAAAAGCGTCAGAGACACCCCGACTCCCATTTCCAGGAGTCTCACACAAACGCCAACCCAACGATCCTAACATATATGCAGAGGAACTAGTGAGGATCCATGCAGTTCAGTGACTGCCCCTTCCGTCTCTGTGAGCCCCCAAGAGCCCTGCTTAGCTGATTTTGCAGGCAGGTCTCCCAGTGTCCTCAAACCCTCTGGTTCCCACAATTCCTCCTCCCCTTCTCCTGAGCTGCAAGGGGAGCGACCTGATGGCGATGTCCAAGCTGGGTTTGCTCTGTGCCTAATGGCTGTGGGTCTCTGAGCCCGCTACTGTGAGCTGCTGGAAGAAGCCTCTCTGATGCCAGCGGGGCTTGGCACTGATCTGCCAGTGTAGCAGAACATCATCAGGAATCGTTTCATTGAGTCTTTTTTTTTTTTTTAGCCAGTTGTGTTTGACTCTATCCAGCTTCCTGGATCATCAGTATAGGTTGGCCACTCCCACAAGTTCTGCACCACCATTGCCCCAGCTCATCTTGCAGGCAGGGCAAATTGTAGGTCAAAGGCTTTGAGGCTGGAAGTGTCCCAGTTCCACCATTGAAAGCCTTGCCAGGTTACAGAAGATGAATGGTTCAGGCTCCATATCTTCCATTACCAGGATTCTGCCATGTGGATTGTTATCTCTCCTCAGGACTGTCCATCTGATTTCCTCCTCATCTGGTTGATGAATCTCTCACCTCAGATTCTTTCCCTATCTCTGTCTGGGAGGCCTGCCTAGCTTTTTATTTTTTATTTTTGGTAAAGATGTATTTATTTAGTATGCATAGTGTTTTGTCTGCATGTGTGCCTACACACCAGAAGAGGGCACCAGATCTCACTACAGATGGTTGTGAGCTACCTTGTGGTTGCTGGGAATTGAATTCAGGGCGTCTGGAAGAACAGTGCTCTTAACCTCTAAGCCATCTCTCCAGCCCTGGGGTCATCCAGCTCTTTATTAAACCAATCAGAAGGTGTCTTAGGCAGGTGAGATAAAACAGAGACACATCTTTACACGGTATACAAAAAGATTATCCCAACATCGGATTTTTGGTTTCTTTCCCATATGAAGTTGAGTATTGTCCTTTCAAGGTCTGTAAAGAATTGTGCTGAAGCTGAGCAGTGGTGGCGCACACCTTTTAATCCCAGCACTTGGGAGGCAGAGGAGATGGATCTCTGTGAGTTCGAGGTCAACCTGGTCTACAGAGCTAGTTCCAGGACAGTCAGAGCTACACAGAGAAACCATGTCTCGAAAAAAACAAATAAACAAACAAAAAAGACTTGTGTTGGAATTTGATGGTGACTGCACTGACTCTGGAAATTGCTTTTGGTAGGGTGGCCATGTTTACTATGTTAATTCTACCGATTCATGAACATGGGAGATCTGCCCATCTTCTGATATTGCATCCAATTTCTTCATTCAAATCCTTCAAGTTTTTGTCATATAAGTCTTCTGTTTGCTCGGTTAGAGTTTTCCCAAGGTATTTTGTAATATTTGAGTTCTGTTGTGAAGGGTGTTGTTTCTTTGGTTTCTTTCTCAGCCCATTTGTATATCGGAGGGCTACCGATAGTTTTGAGTTAATCTTGTATAAAGTCACTTCACTGAAGGTGTTTATCAACTGTAGGGGTTCCCTGGTAGAATTTTTAGGGCTGATTATGTATATTGTCTTATCATCTGTAAATATTGATATTTTGACTTCTTCCTTCCCAATTTGTGTCCTCTTGATCCTTCAGTTGTCTTATTGCTCTACCCAGAACTTCAAGCACTATATTGAATAGATATGGGAGAGTGGACAGCCTTGTCTTGTTCCTGAGTTTAGTGGAATTGTTCTGAGTTTCTCTCCATTTAATTTGGTGTTGCTATAGGCTTGCTATATATTGCCTTTATTATGTTTAGGTATGTCCCTTGTATCCCTGATCGCTCCAAGACTTTTTTTTATTTTTTTATTTTTTATTTTTGTTTTTCGAGACAGGGTTTCTCTGTGGTTTAGGAGCCTGTCCTGGAACTAGCTCTTGTAGACCAGGCTGGTCTCGAACTCACAGAGATCCACCTGCCTCTGCCTCCCGAGTGCTGGGATTAAAGGCGTGCGCCACCACCACCCGGCTGATCTTAAGAAAATAAAAGTGTTAACAAGGGGCTGGAGAAATGACTCAGCAGCTAATAACACTTGCTGCTCTTCCAAGACTTTTATCATGAAGGGTGTTTGATTTTGTCAAAAGCTTTTTTGGCATCTAATGAGATGACCTTGTGATTTTTTTTCTTTCAGTTTGTTTATATGGTGGATTACATTGACTGATTTTTATATGCTGAACCATCCCTAAATCTCTGGGGGTGAAGCCTACGTGGTTATGGTGTATGATCTTTTTCATGTGTTCTTGAATTTGGTTTTTGAGTACTTACTGAATATTTTTTCATCCATGTTCATAAAGGAAATTGAACTGTAATTCTCTTTCTTTGTTGACTCTTTTGTGGTTTGGGTGTCAGTATGACTGTGGCCTCATAAGATGAATTTGGCAGTGTTCTTTCTGGTTCCGTTTCGTGGGATAATTTAAGGAGTACTGGTGTTAGCTCTTCTAGGAAAGTCTCCGAATTCTACATTAAAACCACTTGGCCCTGGGCTTTTTTGCTTGCGACACTTTTAATGGCTGCTTCTATTTTCTTAGGGGTTGTGGATCTATTTAAATTGTTTATCTGATCTTAACTTTGATAAGTGGTATCTATTGAGAAAATTATCCATTTCTTTTAGATTTTCCAAATTGGGGGCGCACAGATTTTTAAAGTATGGCCTAATGATTCTTTGGATTTGGATTTCCTAGGTGTCTGTTGTTGTGTCCTTATTTTCATTTCTGATTTTGTTAATTGTTGTTTTTGGTAGTGGTGATTGTGTGTGTGTGTGTGTGTGTGTGTGTGTGAGAGAGAGAGAGAGAGAGAGAGAGAGAGAGAGAGAGA